TCTTCCTCCTCCTTCTCGAGCCTTCCTCCTCCCAGCCCCCCCTCCCCCGGTCTTTCGCCGTTTTCGAACTCTCGGGTCACTCGGACCAGACACTGGAATTGGCAACAAAGCGACTCAGGATGAAGAGCTGGTCTTGGGGGAAGAAAACCTCGGGTTCCAGGACGCGTTTCCTGCAAGACCCGCCTCTTCCATGCCAAGATGCAGGGAGGGAAGAGGAGGAGGCGTAGAGCGCATGTCTTTATTTTTGGCGATACATGGGCATTATAGGGGTGGGGGGAGGGGCAAGGGGCCAAGGGGGTGGTATAATGTAACGCCTCCCCCCCGCCGTGCGCACGGCGGCAGTGCCCGGAGCGCACTGGGGGGGGGAGGGGCGTTACGTCATGCGGGGGGGGGGAGGCGGGGCCCGGGGCTACAATGCCCATTATGCCCCAACCAATCAAGACACACGCTCGTAGGAGGAAGGCTTGAGAAGGAGGAGAAAGACAGGGCGGAGTTTGGAAAGTAGATGCCTCCCTTGCCATTCTGTTGTCTCCCTCGCCCCCCTGGAGGGTCGAGGGGTCGAGGCCAATCCCAGCTGCTGGGCTCCGACGAGAGCTTCGAAACGTCGGAACTAATGCCCCGATCGTTCCATCACAGCCGCCCTAACCAGTCAACGCTTACCAGTTCCTCCTCCTCCTCCTCCTTCTCCTCCTCTTCCTCCTCGTCCTGGGTGGACAAGGTCCATGGCGAGCATCGCGCCCTCCCGGCCTGGAGCCGATGGAGAACTCGGCGCTGCCCGACAGCACGGGCTCTGCCACGGCCGGCACGCTCTCGGGCTCGTGCTGCAGATCGGCGTCCTCTTGCCGCCGCCTCTCCCTGCTTCTTCGCTTCCTCCTCCCCCTCCTCCTCCTCCTCCTCCTCCTCCTCCTCCTCCTCCTCCGCCTCCTCCTCCTTCCTTCCCTCCCTCCTCCTCCCCCTCCTCCCCTCCTCCTCGTCCTCCCCTCCTCCTCCTCCTCTGCTCATCCCCCTCCTCCTCCTCCTCCTCCTCCTCTCCTCCTCACCTCCTCCTTCCTCCCCCCCCCTCCTCCCCCTCCTCCTCCTCCTCCTCCTCCTCCTCTCCCTCCTCCTCCTCCTTCTTCTTTCTTCTTCTTCTTCCTCTCTCCTCCTCCTCCTCCTCCTCTCCTGCTGCTCCTCTCCTCATCCTCCTCCTCCTCCTCCCTCCTCCTCCCTCCCTCTCCTCGTCCGCCTCCTCCTCCTCCTCCTCCTCCTGCTCCTCCTCCTCCTCCTCCTCCTCCTCCTCACAGCACATCGCCATTCTCTCGAGCTTATCACCAAGGCCTACTACGACGAACGGGCAGACCCCCACGTCCTCCACCTCACCACGCATCTGGTATTCCAGGACGACGACGCGAAGAAGCTATTATGGTAAACATGTTGGTTCCTCATCGGTGCCTTACGAAATGGGACAAGCGTTGCTAATCATCACTATGACGTGGTCAACGCGTTCGCTTCCCCCTCGCACGACATCATGGACACACGACTAACAAACTCATGCTATATCATGCAGAAGAGGACATGTCTGAACATGTTGAAACGCTGCCACAAAACATTGCTGAACAAGACCAGCGATTACTACGTCAACATCATCGGCACGCTACTTGTGTTCTACAAACCTCAAGTGCACCTGCTGAATTTCACCCGCGTAGCGGCACGTTGAGTTTCACATACCGTGCTGGGATGCGATTCATCAATGAAACCTGGAAACACACGATCCTCACCTCCTGGGTTTCTCCCCGCTCAATGGCGCCGTGATCGATCTTCGCATCACCTCATTTGTTGACGATTTGTGCAAGCAGTACGCCGTCTTTACACCTGACACTATCTATTCGCAACAGGCGCATCATGATGAGCGCCATGTTCGCCGAGTATACCATAGCAGGCACAAAGGAAATAGCGAATCGAAGGTTCAGTTCCTTGGCACGTGTGCACATGATATCAGCGTGAAGTCCACACTCAACAAGCCCACGGTCAGGTTCTTAGTGCAACACGGTACTTGGTACACATACACTTCGAAACTGTTTCTTTGTCGATGTCGAGCGGAATCTTCGACTTCAAGCGGCTACTACAGCTTGGCGTATCTTCAAACGGTTCTAATATACGGCGACTGATTTCCGGTTTCTTGTTCGTGTATTTCGCTGTACTGTTTGGGCTGCATTGCTACCTGGTCTTGCGGCATTATCCCTTATTGAAAATCCGCTATGTGGTGTTGGACAAGAATTTCGTGCATCGTGCGCGTAAGCTCATGAGAGGCGAAGCGACTATTCAGACTCTTTGCGAAGACGGGGTCACAAAATATACCCCTATTCCTACCTTAGAAGTTTGGCGTGCGAATTTGATTTTCCGGCACAACTGCATAATTGTGATTCAACGCTTAAAATAGCTTCACAAGATATGCCGTCATCCACTACATCATCAGCTGTACATCGCCGCCACGTTTGGACGCATGCCCGACGATCCCGACAGCCAAGAAGTTGACCATACATGGTTCCAACAGTTGCAGGCTGACATTCTCGCATTCTGTGTTGGACAGCGCATCCTTTCTCGACGGCATCTCTCCGTGGCAGCTGGTTCAGGCGGGTACATTGCAAAAATAGTGTATTGTGATTGGTGTGCCCAAGTTGCGAGCTCAAACCTTGTCTGTCCATACCCCACCACCCAATTCTGATCATGATCCCCTGGATCCGCCTGCGTCATCATGTACACTACCTACTGGAGAATGGTATTGCGGTCGTATGCGTAATGATGGGAATATCTGTACACTCACATTTCCTACATTAAAAGCCCTTCGGTCACATCGTGCTCGTGAACACTTGTTACAAGGTCTTAACACACTTCATTATATTGTCATGGAAACGGTATGTCCCTGGTGTTCTACACATTTCTCTACACGTAAAACTGCACACCATCATGCAAAGTCGGCCAAACTTACATATCAATATGTGCCACGCTCGGTCATACCTACGAATGCAACATCGACATATACCGCTACCATGTTCGTACTCATAACCTCTCTGGCCCAAGGCGGGCTGAGTTCTCCATTCCTCATCCTATCAACGGTTGCACCAGAAGATGGAGCTCTGTCTCGCCCCAGGAGGGGCCTAGCGTCCGCCGAAGGAGCGTCGCCGGGGGGCCACCCACCACGACCTGCAAGCTCTCGTACGTCCCATCGCCAAGCTGACCCTCAGTACTGCCCTGTCGCCACGGATCTTGAGGGCCATCGTTCTGGACAATTTTCAACTGAACGAGAGTTGCGAGTATTTCGCCAAGGGGGAGAATTATACCGAGAGTTAGGCGGAGACGGCGAACGCATACCAAGGTTCAAAAACAATTGAAGATCATGAACTTGGCCCATCCTCATGTTCACGTGTGGAACGCTTCGATCATGGTCGCCGAGGACAAGAACAAACATAAGGAGCTGGAGCCTCCACAGTTGCCGAACCTCGAGGCATACATCAAGACGAAAACGAACAACACCAGCGACACGAAAGTATACCTTCACGCCTTGCAGAAGGAACTACGATACGCTCGGTGCTGCGAAACGTTACGACAGCAAGGTCAAGCGTCTCGAGATCAACAGCACTCCAGACTCGGAGAGCGACATAGTGTACCAAGCCCTTCTCATCCCCTTGCTGGTGCGAGAGAAGGCCGTGAAGCTCGAGGGAGCTGCGCCGCCAGGCGATCTGGAGCGCAGGATTCAGACGGCGATCGACGAGATCGAGAATGTCGGGTGAGCCACGCGCGAGATCTTCCAGGCCCGTGCCCCCGCCAGCCGAGAGATAGTTTCCCCCCTCCTCCTTCTCATCCTCCTCCTCTCCTCCTCCTCCTCCCCGTCCTCCTCCTCCTCCTCATGCTCCCCCTAGTCATCTTAGTGTGACCACTGGTGCCCTGCTTTCGGTTCGTTTTCTGGAGGCTCGCCGTCGATGTCTGCTGAGCTTCAAAACTTATTCCGATGATGCGCCTCAATAATGTTAAGTGCACTCGTGCTACAGGCACGAGTGCACGGCGTTCGCGGCCCTTCTAACTTCGTGTTGATCCAAAGCTTGAGAACACTGCCGTCGGTGGGCCTTGCTCGTGCCCCCCCCTCAACAGTTGCGCTGCTCTAAGCGTTGGAGCCTCTGTGCACGTCCCTCCCATGAGGCTGGACTTCAGGCATCCGAGCGTTCGCTCTTGTGAGTCGTTCTGATTAATGCACCTCCTCCTCCTCCTCCTCCTCCTCCTCCTCCTCCTCCTTCTCATCCTCTCTCGCCGCCTCCTCGTCCTCCCTCTCCTCCTCCTTGGCGCCTCGGAGGTAGGGAGGGAGGAGGGAGGAGTGAGGCGTGAGTGAGTATGAGGGAGAAGGGATGAGGGAGGAGGGATGGAGGAGCGATGAGGAAGAAGGAGGAGGAGGAGGAGGAGGAGGAGGAGGAGGAGGAGGAGGAGGAGGAGGAGGAGGAGGAGGGAGGAGGAGGGAGGAGGAGGAGGAGGAGGAGGAGGAGGAGGAGGAGGAGGGAGGAGGAGGGAGGAGGAGGAGGAGGAGGGAGGGAGGGAGGAGGGAGGAGGGAGGAGGAGGAGGGAGGAGGAGGGAGGAGGGAGGGAGGAGGAGAGAGAAGGGAGGAGGAGGAGGGAGGAGGGAGAGGAGGGAGGAGAGAGGAGGGAGGAGGCGGAGGAGGAGGAGGAGGAGGGAGGGAGGAGGAGGAGGAGCGAGGAGGAGGGAGGGAGGGAGGGAGGGAGGAGGGAGGGAGGGAGAGGAGGGAGGGAGGAGGGAGGGAGGGAGGAGGAGGAGGAGGAGGAGGAGGAGGAGGAGGAGGAGGAGGAGGAGGAGGAGGAGGAGGAGGAGGAGGAGGAGGAGGAGGAGGAGGAGGAGGAGGAGAGGAGGAGGAGGAGGAGGAGGAGGAGGAGGGAGGAGGAGGAGGAGGAGGAGGAGGAGCGAGGAGCGAGGAGCGATGAGCGAGGAGCGAGGAGGAGGAGGAGGAGGAGGAGGAGGAGGAGGAGGAGGAGGAGGAGGAAAGGAGCCCGACCGTCGGGGCGACGCGAAGGCCGCGGGCACCTCGGAGCCACGACGGGCGCCGGCCCCCTCCCCTGCGGATGGCCGCGCGCCGCCGTCCACACGGACGGGGCCGGCGGCCCAGAAGTCGCTCCGCTCGCGGCGCGCACATTCGGGGATGGACAGACCTCCCTTTAGTAAAACCTGGCGGGCGCGAGCCTGAAAAATAACGGCCGCGGCGCCCTCTCGAGAACCGAAAACGGACAATCCACTAATCGACGTGTCACTGTTGGGGGTTCTGTCCACCCCCGATACATATGGGGGAAGGGGAAGGGGGGAAGGCTTCTTAGAAGGAGGCTGCTTCTTAGCAGGCGCGGGCCTGACATTTACAGACGAGGCCCGCGCCTTCTGAGAAGCAGGGGTGCTTCTGAGAGGCCTTCCCCCCTCCCCGTACCCCCCCCTGCACGTGGCGGACCATGGCAGGCGGCCCAGAAGGCGCCCGAACGGCCCGCTGGACGACGGTCGGGGCCATCCTCAATTCACCGCGAGCCGCCCCCCTGGAAGCGCGCGCGCGCCTTTTCGTTCGCGACGCGGACTTCCGGCCGTCTCGACCAATGGCCCGGGCCGGCGCTTCGCCAGGAGGAGCCGTTCCTGGCGAGCCGGGGCCCGGCAAGGGCCCCCCACCCGGAAACGGCGGCAAGCCCCCCGCCCTGCGGGGCTGGTGGGCAGAGGCCACCCCTGGGAGGCAACTCCTGGGAGGCCTTCGTGGGAACGATGAAAAACGAGTGGGCTCGATGAAGGGGCCACCATGGGCAGGATTCGGCCCGATTGAGCCCAGAATTGAGCCCCATGGCGCCTGATGGAGCGGAATAACAAAGAAGGCGGGATGATGTTGGAAGGAGCCCGTTTTCGATCCAGCGCCGATGCTGAGCTGAGCCTCCCAGGAGTTGCATCCCGACCCGCCAGGTCCATGCACAGCACCACGTCGTGCTTCGCCATCTGGAAGCCCAGGAGCACGGCGCTGCTGAGGCCGCGCCCCTCCACCCTGGCCGGGGTGACGGCGGGGGTCGGGGGCGGCCAGGCCAGGAGGGGGGCGTCCAAGAGGGGGGCGCCAGTCATGGCTGGCGGCATGTGCGCGGCCCAGGGGGGGGGGGGGCGCCATGAAATCTGAGGAGATATTATGGCCCCCGCCATGATATCCACCCCCACCTAGTCCTCCCCCCCCCCTTTGCCGCCCCCGAGGGGGGGCTGCGGCAATCACAAGACGAAGCCACGGCAGGACCAGGACAACATCGGACCAGCACAACTCGGGGATCGAGAGGCCCCCATTCGTGGACCCTGGGACGCTGGCCAGGAAAGTATGTATACGGCCTCTTGTCGTCGTCGTCGTCGTCGTCGTCGTCGTTTTTTTTTTTTTCGTCGTCGTCGTCGTCGCGGCGGCGGCCCCGGCGACACGCTATGCCTGGCGAGCGGATAGCGTGTCGCTCCGCTCCGCTCCGCGGGAGGCTGGGAGAGGCCCGGCGCGTTGAAAGGCCTGCGGGCCGGGAAATGCACAGCGCGTCGCGCCGATACGTGGTGGGCAGCAGCCTGCGGAGCGGCGTGCTGAGCCAAAGTTCCCGACCAGAGGGAGGGGACAAGGGGGGGGGGGCAGGGAGGGGGAGGGGGGGGGAGGAGGAGGAGGAGGAGGAGGAGGAGGAGGAGGAGGAGAGGAGGGAGGGGAGGAGGAGGAGGAGGAGGAGGAGGTTCCCGTGGAGACCAGAGGCATGTGATTGCCCGAGGCGCGCGTCGACGAGGCGGCGCGTGGCCCGGCAGGTGCTCTCCAGGTTTCGGACAGTGCCTTCGCGCGCGCTTCAAGGGACCCAAGGAAACACAAATAATACACACAAATAAAAATCATTCCCCATATTTTCTGGGTTTCTGTCTTCCCCCCCACTTCCCATATTTTCCCATATTTTCTGGGGATTCAAAGATTAATTGTGTCTGTGTGTTTCTTCCCCTCCTGAGCACTGGCGAACGGGGGGCCAGACTGGGCGGGAACTCTCCCCCTAACGCGACTGGCTGCGTGATAATCGGCCCCCTGACCAAAAACATGACTGCCCATGTCGAACATACGTTCGTGGCGCTCTGTCGCTATATGGTTCGCTACATCGCAGGGCGGGGGGGGCGGGACTGGGAAGGGACGTGCCGCTCCTTGACAAAAACCCTGCTTTGGTCTGTGGCCGCCGCGGTCACCGCGGCGACCTCCAAAACCGACCTTGAGGTTTCGCTCGGGGTCGGATGTCACGCGACGAACGACGGCGGACTAGGCTTAGGTCGGGCGCCCCCTACAGGCGGATTCTGGACGAAAAAACAAAACTAGTCAAAACAATATTCAACAAATGCTCAAAAATACGTACAACAAAAATCGTCCCCAGACTATTTTTGAATACTTCTTTCTGGAGGATGCATCGGGCGCCGCGGCCGTTCCAGAACGCTCTAGAGAGATTCATCCCGATCTTGGGCCCGAATGACAATCTCCCCACTCCTCCCAGACCTCCTGCGTCGTTGATCAGTTTTTGCTTTCGGTGCGTCACTTTTTCCTCTGCTTCGGCCTGCAGAGGCCCCAGTCGGGCCCCGGGGGCTCTGAGAAAACTGAAACATTGGTCCCTGGAAAGCTCCTAGGGGTTGCTAGCGGTCCAGGGGCCACGCATTGAAACTATCCAGGCAAAGGGACCAACCATATGCAGTTGTGATTACTGCAATTGTAAGTTCAAGTGTCGCCATCGGTGGAGCTCCCCATGGGGCCGCTGGGGCCTTTGGTGGAGCTCCCTGTGAGGCCACAAAACGTTTGATGGGTGTGCCAGAATACATGGGGAGCCGCATTTGGCCGCACACACTGGGGCCTTAGGTGGAGCTCCCCCTGGGGCCACGAAACGTGTGCGGGGTGTGCCAAAACGGACGTGACGAACACGTGCCAAGTTTGCTACTGGTGCCATGGGTGGACCTCTCTGTAGAGCCACGAAGCGTGCGATGGGGTGTGACGACATGGACGTGACGCTCACATGCGAACGTCGCCACTGGGGCCTTAGGTGGAGCTCCCTATGAGGCCACGAAGCGTATGACGGCTGCGCCGAAGCTGACGCGACACCCACATGCGAACGTCGCCAGTGGGCCTTAGGTGGAGCTTCCGATGATGATCATGTTTTTGATGATGATGATGGTGATGATGATGCTGATGAGGAGAATGATGCTGATGATGATGACGATGATGATGGTGATGATGAGGAGGATGCTGATAATGCTGATGATGAATAATGCTGCTGATGATGAGGATGATAATGATGATGCTGATGGTGATGACGACGATGATAGTGATGATGATGAAGACGATGCTGCTGCTTATGATGATGCTGATTATGATGCTGGTGCTGCTTATGATGATGATGCTGATGATGATGATGATGATGATGATGATGATGATGATGATGATTAGGAGTATGATGATGATGATGATGGCGGTGATGGTGATGACGGCGATGATGATGAAGATAATGACGATGTTGATGATGATGATGATGGTGATGATGATGAAGATGATGAAACTGATGATGATGATGATGATGATGATGATTCTGATGATTATGATGATGATTATGATGATTATGATGATTATGATGATGCAGCTGATGATGATGATGATGATGATGATGCTGCTGCTGATGATGATGATGATGATAATGATGATAATGATGATGATGATGATGATGATGATGATGATGATGATGATGATGAAGATCAGGATGCTTCTGTGGCAAGGCTCCTGCGGATGCCACGCCACCAGGCTGGCGGTGTCCGCCTCTGGCCGCTCTCTCACGGCGCGGCCCACCGGTCACTGCGCGGTGGCTTCGGGCCCAGAGGGTAAACTGAAGGGGCCCTGGGACACACAAATCAGTAGACACAAATAAAAGGATCCCCAGTGTTTTCTCATATTTTCTGGGTTCTTGTCTCCTCCCCCTCTTCCAATATGTTCCTGTCTTTTCTGGGGAATCGACGATTCATTGTGTCTGTGTGTGTTTTTTGTCCCTCCTGCTACACGGAGGGCCCCGCCGTGCTGTGCACCGCTCCGACGCGGGGAGCAGGCCTGCGGCGCCGGCGCAGAGCGGGCAGGGCCCCCGCTCGCCCAAAGGACCCAGGAAAAAGAGTTGGACCCCGGGCCTCCTCCTCCTCCTCCTCCTCCTCTCCTCCCTCCTCCTCCTCCTCTCCCTCCTCCTCCGCCTCCTCCCTCCTCCTCCTCTCCTCCTCCTCCTCCTCCTTCCTCCTCCTCCTCCTCCTCCTCCTCCTCCTCCTCCTCCACGACACGATGACGAGCGACGGACGACGACGAACGACGGGGGGAGAAGGCGGACCGCCGATCCCACCCCCATGCGGCGCGAGTGCGGGTAGTGAGCTCCGGCACCGCCCTGGGGGAGGATACGGTTTGGACGCCCGAAATGGGTATGGAAAAAATGGGCACAATGCCCAGCAACAAGTGTTGTCCCAAACCAACAGCGGCCGCTGTTGGGCAGGCGGCCTTCTGTCTCAAATGTACACAGGCCGCGGCGACACCGACAGCGAGTCTTGTTCAAAATGAACAGGAACTGCTGTTGGGCCGTACCCATCTCGCTCGTGCCCATACGGGACCGGCGGCCCCCTGGCAAGGAACGCCCGGCTGCGGGGCGCTTGGATCCCGCAGGCCCGGCGGCCCTCGCGTGCACCAGGGAGCGACTTGGCCCGAAACTCCGCCTATAGGGGTGCTCCTCTGAAGCATGATAATGGTGACGATGATGATGATGATGATGATGATGATGATGATGATGATGATGATGATGATGATGATGATGATGATGATGATGATGGTGATAAAGATAATGATGATGATGATGGTGATGATGATGATGATGATGCTGATGATGGTGATGATGATGATGACGGTGATGTTGATGATGATGACGAGGATGATGATGATGATGATGATGATGATGATGATGATGATGATGATGATGATGATGATGATAATGACGATGATGGAAATGCTAATGATGATGCTGATGACGATGATGATGACGAGGATGATGATGAGGATGATGATGATGCAGATGATGGTGACGATGATGGTGATGATGATGATGATGATGATGATGATGATGATGATGCTCATGATGATGGTGAGGATGATGAAGATGGTAACGATGATGATGACGAGGATGATGCTGATGTTGATGATGGGAGTGGTGATGGTGATGGTGATGGAAGTTATGATGATGACGATGATGAGGACGATCATGATCATGATGATGTTGATGATGATGTTGATGTTGTTGCTGATGATGTTGATGGTGAAGACGGCGACGATGATGAAGGCAAGGCAAATATTGGAGAAGAGGGAGAAGGAGCGCGAGTGACGCGGGGCGCTGCCTCTTCAGCACGAGGATGCAACAACGCAGGATGGCTGGGAAAACAACACATCCAGAGCTTGGTTTGTAGTGAAACTATCTACTAGCGCCGTCGCTTGGAGACCCGCTCGAAGGCCGAAGTTTCTGGTCGTGTCATCCAGAAGCATTGGAAGGCCTCCAGGGGCCCTTTGGGACCTCCAGGGTCCTCCAGAGATGACGACCGCTGGCGTTCAGTCTGCTCGAAAATCGGCGCAGTCTTTGCCTCGAGCCTCGCCTCCAACTTTGCCGCCAGTCTCGCCTCGAGCTCATTTACGCAAGCCTCGGATCAAGTTTCGCGGCTTCGCACCGAGCTTCGCCCTCCTCCCCGACACTGCGACGTCGTGTATTTTTCGCGACGTTGACCTCCAGAGGTCTGGATCCCTTCCCCAGGACCAGTTCTTCATCCTGGGTAGCTTCTTCCTCGTCCCATGGTCCGGTGCGAGCCCCTGGAGGCCTACAACGGTGGCAAAAACTTCCCGTCGAGAATTTGAGCGACGAGAGGATGTGGGGGTCACTCTCGCGCTGGCGACCTGAGCGACCAATCACGGGCCTTACGGTCGGACCTACGACAGAAGAACATGCCTCAAGAACATGAGACCCTCCGCTGGCCAAAACACATAGAACGGTCGAGGGTGCCCCCCCCCAGGATGCACAAGAACATACAGCAAACACGCAGAGCATTGGAGTACCCTTTCCGAACCGACGTCGGTCTTACACCTCGGTCCGACCGTAGTCGTGGCCTGCGTCGGGCAACGGACGGTGGCCACATGCCCTGCCCACGGCGGTCGGGCCCCGCGCGCACGGCGCCCCCGAACAGAAAAATTGCGGCCGCAACGCCACCTTTCGAGAGCAGAAAAGAAAACGAGTCGCTACGCGAACGACTTGCCCGGGTGGGGGCTCTATTCGGCGGCGCGCAGAGGGGGGTAGGGCGAGGGGGGAAGGCTTCTTAGAAGGAGACTGCTTCTTAGAAGGGGCCAGCCTTGCATTTATAGATGACCCCCTCTGCGCGTGGCCAGTCTATGATCAGGGACTCTTGCTTAGCGTGTCGCGGCGGCGGCCCCGTCGACACGCTACAGTGCCGTCACGGCCGCAAGAAACCCTCGCAAGAAACCCAACCCTGAGAACCCGCGCGAGGTGCAACTGAAGGGAAACCTCGAGCACCCTGAACGCAGCAGCTGCTTTGACGGCCGCGGGAAGTCACCACGCAGCGCGCGGAGCGAAGAAACCAAGGGTCCCCCCTGACGAGAAGCAAATGGTTTCTTGATGCGCGCTCCACTGTATGCCTTGCGAGTGGATAGCGTATCGCTCCGCTCCGTGGGGCGGGATGTCGGGAAACGCTCGGGACGTTGTTGACGACCGGGGGCTGGGACGTGGATAGCGCGTCGCGCCGCAGCGCGGTGGGCCAGAGCTGGTGGCGCGACACGCAAAATTCCTGACCGCAGACGCTGTCGGGGCGCTGACCTCAGGAACCCTAAATAAGGAACGAGGCCCCCGATTCCATAAGTTAACCTTCGATTCCCCATCGAAAACCCAAGGACAACCTAAGGCGAGTTGCGAAACGGTTAAGGAACACAGCGCCCCTCCCCAACGAAACGGGTTCCTTTTGTTCCGCGCCCCGACTGCAGCTCTGTCCAAAACTCCGACCTCGCGATTTTCCCACAACGCCCACGCGCGGAGGCCGGGCTCCCCTCCCACATCACCGCCCGGGGATCCCGCGCCGTTCTTGCCGGCCCCAGTGGCCCGGCGAGGGCCCCGGAGACCCAACGCGGCCAAGAGCCTCCCGCCGTGACCTTTGCGCGGCGAGGGGGAGCGTGTTTCTGTGTTGACTGGGGCACGATGGGCATTATAGCCCCCGCCCCCCCCTCCCCCTCCCCCCCCCCCAGTGCGCTCTGGACACCGCCGCCGCGCGCATCGGGCAGACGGCGGCGGGGGGGGGCGTTGCATTATACCCCCCCCCCCGGCCCCCTCTTCCCCCCCCGCATAATGCCGACTATCGCCGAAAATAAAGAAACGCGCTCGAGGGGGGGTATCGCCCCCCGGTGGTAGACGCATCGCTCCCTGTCCGGGGCCCCTCTCCCGGGCCTCTTGCGGCAGTGGATGCGGACGGGGAAGCCCTGCTCCCCGAGCTCCCTCACGATCCTGGCAGTCTCGTCGGAGCCCGCCGACCTGGCCCGCGGAGAGCGCGGCGGCCTCTCGCTCTCCTCCTCCTCCTCCTCCTCCTCTCCTCCTCCTCCCTCCTCCTCCTCCTCCTCCTCCTCCTCCTCCTCCTCTCCTCCTCCTCCTCTCCTCCTCCTCCTCCTCTCCTCCTCCTCCTCCTCCTCTCCTCCTCCTCTCCTCTCCTCCTCCTCCTCCATCCTCCTCCTCCTCCTCCTCCTTCCTCCCTCCTCATCCTCCTCCTCCTCCTCCTCCTTCTCCATCCTCCTCCTCCTCCTCCTCCTCCTCCCTCCTCCTCCTCCTCCTACTCTCCTCCTCTCCTCCTGCCTCCTCCGGCCTGCCCTTCTCCGTCCTCCTTCCTCCTCCTCCTCCTCCTCCTCCTCCTCCTCCTCCTCCTCATTCCTCAAATACGTTACCACATGTATTACGAGACCGGAGAAAAGCTCCAATCCAAGTCTTTTTAGGGCTACAGGGCTATGGGGCTGTTGGGCTATAGGGCGATGGGGCTATGAAACTATAGGGCCATAGGGCCATAAGGCTGTCGGTCTATAGGGCTATATGGCTATAGGGCTATAGGGCCATAAGGCTATATGGCTGTAGTGCTATAAGGCTATGGGGCTACGGGGCTCTGAGGCTATGGGGCTATAGGGCTACAGGGCCATAGGGCTATGAGTCTATAGGGCAATGGGGCTATAGGGCTGTAGAACCATAGGGCTATAGAGCCTTGGGGATAAAGGGTTATGGGGCTATAGGGCTATAGGCATCTATAGAGCAATGTGACTAGAAGGCTATAGGGCTATAGGAGGGCCATCGGGCTATAAGGCTATAGTGCTACATGGCTATAGACATATAGGGCTAACACAATAAGGCTGTAGGACTATGACGCCGTTGGGCTACAGGGCTGTAGGGTTATAGGGCTATGGGGCTATAGGGCAATGAGGCTGTAGGGCAATAGGGCAATAGGGCTATAGGGCTATAGAGCTATAGGGCTTTAGGGCTCTAGGGCTATAGAACTATATGGCTAGAAGGCTATAGGGCTACAGGGCTATAGTGATATAGGGCTACTACTATAGGGTTATAGGACTATTGGGCTAGGGGCTATAGGACTACAGGGCTAGTGGGGTATGGGGCTATAGGGCTATAGAGCTATATGGCTATAGGGCTATAAACGCACCTGGGCACCGGAGCGGGCCGCGGAAATCGGTGGCAAACCTGACCTAACCATATGAATCCGCTAGGGCCCCTACAGAGGCAAGCTCTGATTGGGGAATGTGATTTGTTCTTTCTCTCCTCTCTCTCTCTCGCCGCCACGGGGGGCCCAGCGCTGATCCGAGAAATCCGCGCAGAGCGCCGAAAGTTTGTGTTTGTGCTGGGTTTCTTCTTCGGGTGCTGATTATCTCAAGACGCTGGGGGGAGGAGGAGGAGGAGGAGGAGGAGGAGGAGGAGGAGGAGGAGGAGGAGGAGGAGGAGGAGGAGGAGGAGGCTGTGTCGCCTTCGCCGCCGCCCCCCGATCATGGACTCGGTCCCTGAGCTTGCTCCGCGCGCTCCGGCCGACACTTCGAGGGCGGACCTGGCCGCGGCGACGAGGCGCCCCATCGGAGGCCCAGAGGAGGACCCACATGTTTTCAGCCTACTCCTCCTCCATCCTCCTCCTCCTCCTCCTCCTCCTCCTCCTCCTCCTCCTCCTCCTCTCCTCCTCCCTCTCTCCTACCTCCTACCTCCTTCCTCCTCCTCCTCCTCCTCCTCGGCGCTGGAAGCCTGGGACAGACGGCCATGTCGGGACAGGAGTGTCGACGTCAGGGGACATGATGTGTTCTCGAGAACACACAGATGTTTAGCCCTCCTTCGCTCGAAGTCATGTCGGGGACTGGGCAGTCAAAGCCAAAGCAGTTACGGAGCAAACGTGTTCGTCTCATAACTACTGTGAAGCGAACATGCCTTACGGCAAATGTGTGACATGGTGACTTCGGCGCTGGTTTCTGACACCGCGGGGATCCGTCAACCTTGAACGACCAGCCGCTTCCAAAACGTCGAATCGTTTAACATCGACCGATTTGGGTGGCCAGCGGCGTTCAACGTTGAACGCCGGCAGCGGGGTCCCCGCCGGTCGACACGACGCGAAACTGCCGTGGATGGGCAAGGGGGGACTAGAACTGGACGCGCTGGCCGAGTCCCGCAACCTCGCGCAAGCGCTCGCTCCTCGGCAAGCATGCCGCCGTCACGGCATACGGCATCGCCGCCGCCGCGGCCGCCGTGGAGCCGTCGCGGTTGCAGCCAGCGCCCCCCTCGCCGCCGCCACCCTCGTCGCCGCCGCCATGGCCGCCTCGTCGCCGTCGCGGCCGCCGTCGCCGTCCTCGTCGCCGCAGCCGTGGCTCGGAGGGCACCAACTGTACACAGACACCGATCCTGGCCAGGCCTGTCCTGGGCCCTGGATCGGTGTGTATACCTTCCTGCCCAAGCCAGGAGGGCGCACACACCAATCGTGGACCCAGGATGAGCCTGGCCAAGATCGGTGTAGGTGTACAGTTGACGTCCTCTTCACGGCGTCGCCGGCCGCGCACGGGGCCGCCGAGCGGAGGGCTCGTCATCTACGACGACGAGCTCCGTGGTCAGGCCGGCGTCCTGCAGCTGAGGGCTGTGCGGGGGAGGCGAGGTCGCCCCCATCTGCAGACGTTTAGGTGTACAGCCCAAGGTTGGCCATAAGTGGGGATGGGGGTAGGGATAACATTTATGGGGATTAAGATAAGGCTTGGGATCAAAAAGTACGACAAGGAAAAGGATACGGACAACAATTAAAACGGGAGACGACGGGAGGCAACAAGAGACAACGGGAGATGTCGGAGACAATTGGGCCACTTGAGTCTCCGTTGAGGGGGTGATGTGGGGAGCCGCATCGCGATGGTGCGTGCGAGGCCGTGTAGTCCTCGTTGTAGGGCCTATAGGGGGCCATCCGTCCTGAATGGGCGTTCAGCCACGCAAGCACCTCGCCGATCCAGACGCGATCCGGCGCGTTGCCGGCAAGGTCCCACGTGGTGCCCCTGGTTTGATCACCTTCCCGTTCTCGCATCATGTGGCCTATGATGACGCCGATGGCGGTGGCCACGAGCCCGTGCACGACGAGGCTCAGGCAGCGGGGGCGATTGAGGAAGATAGATGTAGTGGTGGTGCGTCGGGAGGCCGCTCGGGGCGTAACCTCAAAATCGGGAGACAACTTCGCCCGCCCAGCTCCAGATCCGGCAGTCCCACCAGCCCTTTGGGCGTGAGTGGTTTAGAGAGCCCGCTCTGTTCTCAACCCCCCTTCTTCCCCTTCGGGGAGGGGTTTACCCCTCCCCCTACCCCCTCCCCCTGGGCCTGGAGAGGTCCTTTCGCGGGTGGTTGGAGGGGTCTTTTTCGACTCCTGGGAGGGCTAAAAAACGACACCCCTCACGAGGATTCTGGCCCCGACGGGGGGAGGCAGAAAAATGCTCCCCTCTTCTTTGAAGCCAAAATCATTGATTTTACTACGGTTTTGGCCCCATTTTGGCCTTCTGAGGGGGCAGCGCTAATTAAAGCTCCCCTCTTCTTTCAAGCCAAAATCATTGATTTTACTAAGGTTTTGGCCCCATTTTGGCCTTCTGAGGGGGCAGCGCTAATTCAAGCTCCCCTCTTCTTTGATCGATTTCCTCCAAGATGGCCCCAAGAAGCGCCCAGGAGGCACCAAGAGGCCCCAAGATGGCCCCAAGAGGCCCCCAGGAGGCCCCCAAGAGGATCCCAAACGGCCCAAAGAGGCCCCCCCGAGGCACCCAAGACGCCGAAAAGCCCATCAGGACGACCCTCTACTCGCCTGGGCGTCGTTTCTGGACGGGCAGGAGGAGGGGCCCGAACGACTCACACCAGGACGAGGGGCCCGAACAACTCACACCACGAGAAGCCCGAACGACTCACACCAGGACGAAGAGCCCGAACGACTCACACCACGAAGAGCCCGAACGACTCACACCAGGAAGAAGGGCCCGAACGACTCACACCAGGACGAGAAGCCCGAACGACTCAAACCACGAGGAGCGCTTTCTCTCCCTCCTCCTCCGCCTCGTCCTTCTCCCGCTCCCACCACAAGGAGGATGTACAAGGAGGCGGGAGGAAGGAGGAACAGGGGAGATATGCGGGGGCAGGCGGAAACACGCCTGAAAAACACGACTGTCGGCATGCTTCGCTAGAGTTGCTGTTTTGAGATGGGCTGGTGGGGATACGCGAAGCGTGAAGAATTCGCTTACTGCACTTGCTTCTTTCACAAGGAGTGGCACAGCCCTCAGAGTCAAGCTGTTTTGGGAACGAACTGCATGACACATTTCCGCCATCGTGCCCTGAGGCACGAGTTGGAGTGTCCTCAGGCCCCTTCGATTTCTATGCACTGAATATTGTAAATCTTCCTATTGGGGCCGAGGGCCGAAATTCCCAAATCTTCCGGCATGGATTCCAGAGGCCATAGGGCCTAGGGCGCCAACACAGGCCAAGAGGGTCCTGAGAGGCCAGCAATACGATCCAAGATGGCCCCGATCCCCAAAGAGAGTCCCAAGACGCCCGGGATGGCCCCAAGATGGCCCAAGACGCCCCGAAGACGCTCTAAGAGCGATCCAAGCCCTCCAAGAGGGCCCCGAGATGCCACAATCAGCGATTTCCCAGCAATTGTTGACAGATGTTAATGTTCTCGCTTGTCCGTGCCTTCGACGCGCCAAGACGGCCCAAGAGGCCCCGAAGATCGCCCAAGACGGCCCAAGATGGCCCCCAAGTGCGCCCCCAGACGGCCCACAAGACCGCCCAAAACGCCTCCAACACTGCCCGAGAGGGCCTCAAGAGGAGTCGGGCTAGAACCCCCTCCCTGGCGTGCGGAGCGCGCCAGGTGCGGCGCTGGAGGCGCCGCCGGGGGGCCCCAGCGCGGATCCAAGGACTTCGCGAGGACCGTCGAACGTGTACGGTGTGGGGGACGGGACGCGAGGACGCGAGGATGTCGCGGATTGGGTGCGAGAAATCGTCTGCGACTCTCTACTGCTTCTGTTTCAGCACGCACGGCACCAAGCCCAGCGAACTCCCGCAGGGTCGTCGCCGGACAAACCTATCTCCTCGCATCCTTCCCATCCCTTCACACCCCTCCTCCCCCTCCTACCCTCATCCTCGTTTTTGTTGCCCACTTACTAGTCGTCCTGCTTCTTCTCCGTGAACGAACTCTCCTCCTCCTAGTCCTCCTCCTCGTCCTCCTCCCTGACCGGAATCCGCGCGGTCCTTGACGGCCTTGAACAAGCGCTCGCACAACGGCCTGATGTTCTCCACCTGTGTCGCGATGGCTTCGGAAACCGTGCGCTTCTTGTGCGATCAGGTTCCACCTGTCATGGAGCCTAGGGTACAGTGTGGAAGAGGGACCGCGCCCAATGAAACGAGAGCCGTACAACAACAATCAAACGCTCTCGTTGCTGAGGGCACACGTCAGGTTGGTGAGCGGGCTCGAGTGAAGCGTGCGCGGCCATATGCAAGTGTACGCACGACGTGTAAGCATACATATCTTCCCAGTGCTATTCCCCCCGCTCCCCCCGCGCTATCTACCATCCAAGGTGGTGGAACCAGGAAGGGGAGGAGGAGGAGGAGGAGGAGGAGGAGGAGGAGGAGGAGGAGGAGGAGGAGGAGGAGGGTGGGAGGATGTTGGAAGGCAGGAGGAGGAGGCGGAGGAGGAGGAGGAAGAGGAAAAGGAGGAGGGGGAGGAGGAGGAGGAGGAGGAGGAGGAGGAGGAGGAGGAGGAGGAGGAGGAGGAGGAGGAGGAGGAGGAGGAGGAGGAGAGAGGAGGGAGGGAGGGAGGGAGGGAGGGAGGGAGGGGAGGGAGGAGGGGGAGGGAGGGAGGGAGGGAGGGAGGGAGGGAGGGAGGAGGGAGGGAGGGAGGGAGGGGGGAGGAGGGAGGGAGGGAGGGGGGAAGGCGGGGCTGCGAGGGAGGAAGGGGCGAAGGATGCCGGACTGGCGTCGGCAGGCCAACCACCGTGCGGTCTGCGCTCAGGCAAGCCTGTATGGGAAGAGCCAGCAGACCCGTCAAGTGAGGACGCGCGGTAAGGATGCAATGGCCTTGGAAGGCCAAGTTCGCATTTTCGAGCGAGGTTGGCCAGCGAAAGTCGCCACGCATGGGCCGAAAGGGCAAGGATGCAAGGGTAGCCTTGGAAAGTTGCTCGGTCCTTACTATGCGGGTTAACCGTACCTGTTCGCAGTCTCGGCGCTTGCTGAACGAGAGGAGGGCGAGGAAGAGCAGCAACGGCTGGGGACGTGAAGAAGCAAGATCTCAGTCTGATCATTTCCCCTCTTCTCGCTCCCCCCCTCCTTACTGAGCGGGCGCACCATCCCAAGAGGTGGGGAATCCCCTGCTGACAAGCTCGGCCCCCCCTGCGCCGATGCCGATCAGGACCTCCGAATGCCTCCGAGGACCTTCTGGAAAATTCGGAAGCCCGAAACCTCGCTCCCCCCAGACACCCGACGCAGCGGTTTTTTGACAGCGTGGACCCCCAAACGTCTCGACTCATTCCGCGGGACTAGCTTTTCATCCTGAGCCGTGTCTTGACGTTGCTGGAGCTCGCTGACGGTCCCCAGAAAGCGAAAACGGCGAAAACTCTTCCGTCGTGATCCTTTGAGACAGAAAGATGTGGGGGTTGGATCGCATTTTCCGAATCGCGGCCAAAACGGGTGTTCTTGGGGGGGAGGAGGGGGGGGGACGGGAGGGGGCACAACGTATGCCGGAAGCACTGCGGAAGTGCCAGGGACGCACTGAGGGGGCGGGGGGGGGGGGGGGGGCGTACGCTAATTATGAGGGGGGGAGGGGGGCAGGGAGGGCAGGGAGCAAACGCGCGTTATGGCCCACAGGCTGACAAAACGCTCTCTTGACCCTCCATGAACGTCTGCGACGACGACAACACCGCGGGGCAACGCCCGCAGGACGCGCCTGGGTGCGGGGGTGGCGCGCGGGCCAGCCAGGCGGGGCCTCGTTGTACGTGGGCACGATCACGGACAGGGCCTTCCGCGTCTCCCCCGCAGAGCCGCCTCGGGGGGGTGGGGAGGGCAAAGCCACTAATGTACACCGCGGGCGGTGAGCGTGTCCATACCTCCAGCAGACACGGCCGGTGAGACTTTTTACGTCGCAGCGCGGCAGAAGCAATCCGCACGCGCGTCTGCGCGAGACCGGGGCACGGTGCCGGGCCAGCCGACGAGACATGCTTCTGCAAGAACTCTTGGGGCACATCCCCCGTCGACTCTAAGCTTCGCCAAGGTGCCCCGAGGCTCTGTGGACACAGTGGGAGATACGAAATTATCGTGGGGAACCCGTTGGCAGGTCAATTTCTCATTTCGCGTGCCAACTGTACTCCCACGCGGTCTGGACATTGAGGGGGTCAGCCAGTACATCACGGAAGACGAGCGTAGTCAAGAGGCCGCTGGAATTCGCTGACCCGTCGCGTCGTAATTCAATCGATTCCCCTCGTTTTTCCCCTGGAGGGGGGGGTAACGCGTGCACAGTTTCCCCCGGGGCCGTAGGCGACCCGAGGAGGAGGAGGAGGAGGTGGAGGAGGAGGAGGAGGAGGAGGAAGAGGAGGAAGAGGAGGAGGAGGAGGAGGAGGAGGAGGAGGAGGAGGAGGAGGAGGAGGGGGAGGAGGAGGAGGGGAGGAGGAGGAGGAGGAGGAGGAGGAGGAGGAGGAGGAGGAGGAGGAGGAGGAGAAGGAAGAGGAAGAGGAGGAGGACGGGTCGCCAGCGTCCCGGGCTAGATTGCCGCTCTCTCCCTGGGGTGCTGGCGGGTCCTGGGGGAGGGCACCCCCTGTGGACAAGGGGGCGAGGGGGCCACCCCTTTCGGGGGGGTCGCCAGCGGGGGTCCAAAGAAAAATGCCGCGTCGGTGGGGGGGCGGGGGGGTCCGGGGCCAGAACGCCGCCCACCCCTGGGTGCCTGCGGGTCCCGCACCAGCGGGGATCCCGGAGGTGGGGCAGTTGGCATTCCTACAGGCCTACCACGACCTGTTCTTAGAATCCAGAAATGTGCGAAAAACCAAGACAATGTTCTTAGAACATAAAGCCGATGTGTCAAAACAAGGCAGCCCCAGCCAGAAATGTTCTAAGAACATTGTGCGCAAACCTCAAAAGGTTCTTAGAACATTGTTTGGTGGTAGGCCTAAATATAGGCCAACCGAGACGCTTCGCCACTGCTTGGGGAGGAGGTCCCTCCCGCCTTCAGGGTCGGCAGCACCGGCCGTAAGGACGACTTCGGGCTCAGAGGGAGTACTCCGATTTTTGCTCAGCGCCTCAGATCCGGGACAGGGAATCTCGTCGTGGCCGAGGCTCGCCGTGGCCCGAAGAGATCCCTCCCGGCACACACTCGTGGGTCCGATCTCGCGGGAAACACAGCGACAACTGAAACCAATCTTCAAGGACAGCTCAAAATAACAGCGACATCTGGGCAAAACTGGTAACCCTCCGCCTACGACATTTTGCCAACGGCCGAAACTCGATAGACTATCTGCATGGCATAGCTGGACAAAAAACTCAAAACAAGGAACTAACCAAGAGGATTTAATCGACACGACGTAAATGAAACAAGCGCTTTTTGTCTGAGAAACATAAACATGCATGTGCGATGCAGGGGCAACTTAATCGAACATCACAGAAATATGATATGGCAACTGAACACTCGCGGTCACCCTGCTTTAGGTTCAACGCGCGCGCACATATGATTTCAAACACGCTCCTTTCCGATGCCCTTCTGTGTGTTCGAATTGTCATCGCGCGAATAGGAATTATAATGTATGCCTTCGCTCAATGCGACTCTGGCTCGGATATTCAAACTCGCTCGTCACAAAGGCCAAAGAAACTCGAAACACACTCCGCAAATGTGAAGCTCAAATCAAGGAATTCGCACAAGATTCCCGAAGGCACCGCGGGTCGCGAGAGAGGCCAGGGGAGTTCCACCTGCCCGTTCAGGGGGCCACGACCCACAACAGAGGCCCGTCCTGAGGGGTTCGACGGTGCGCCCACCGTCGTCGTGCAACCGCGGCGCAAAATTTGACAGCACTGGACTGCCCTGAAGGGATGAACGGTGCCCGCTAACAAAAATCGGCAACGAAATCTTGGATCCGACGGTCACCCCAGTCCCGCAGCGACTGCCAGGACTGATCCGAAAAGCCCCGTCGTTCCTGATTCGGCGTTCCCTGTGGTAACACGATGACTGAATACATCTCTCTCTCTGTATAGATTTATGCATGTACATGTTTGTATGTATGTATGTATGTATGTATGTATGTATGTCTGCATGTATATATACACGCATTTTTAGATACTAGAGCGCTCCAGTCTTTTGGCCTTGTCGGGCCGTTCTGGTCGCTCAGTCGTGCCCCTCTCGAACTGTTTGGAGCGGCCAGGGGGAGGCCCGGAAGGCCTTGGAGGGAGGGCCAAACGAGGGGAGGGGGGGGGGAGGGGAGCGGCGTTTGCACGTAGTGCGGTTCTGAGCTTGAGCTGTCGCCTGCCGCCCTGCATCCAGAGAAAGGGAAAAAAAGGATGCACTGGTTGCACCCTCCTCTTCAGCATCCGCCACCTCATCCTGTCCGTCTCCTTCTCCTGCCCTCCTTCCCCTCCTCGTCCCCGTCCTCGTTCCGCTGACTCGTCGCCCGCTTCCGTCTCATCAGTATCCTGATCCCTTTGGTCTGGTCTGATCCCTCTCCTTCTGGTCTACTCCCCATCCTCAGCAAAGTCATTATCAGAACCACCACCATCACCATCACCAGCAGCAACACCTTTATCACCACCACCACCATCAACAACAACATCATCATCATCATCATCGTCATCATCATAATCATCAGCATCATCATCAACATCAGCATTTGCAACAGTATCATCATCATCATCATCATCATCAGTATCATCATCATATGCATTGCTATCCTCATCACCATCATCACCATCAACAACATATTCATCATCGTCATCACCAGCCTCATCATCAGCGTCATCATCATTATCACCATGATCATGATCATGATCATCGTCATCATCATCATCACCACCACCATCATCATCAGCACCACCGTCAGCATCTTCAGCATCTTCATCAGCAGCATCATCATCATCAACATCATCAAAAGCATCATACTCCCTATCCGTATATTCCTAGTCATCCTCTATCCTCGAACATTGTTATCGTAAGCCTCATCATAACACTCGTGTTGAAATGTCCTTGTCTTCTTCAACCTGGTCCGCCACCGCAGCTTCCACTCGGCGCCCAGTACACCCTGGAAATATGTTGGAAATGGGCCTGCCAGAAGTTGGAGATTGGGCTCGCGCCTGCATGGCAGGCTCGTGCGGGCAGCGCGCACTACCGAGTCGCACGGCCCCAGAAGGAGGGGGTCAGGAACACAGAAAATGATATGGTGCCAAGGCACCCGGTACACCCTCTGCAATTATATATATGTATATACACATATGCATACATGTTAGAACCATCGCGCGCGCTTCGCGCGCGCTCAAATTCTAGCTAGGCTCGACAAGGTAACGCATGTAATATCAGTTGTTGAAATGCCTTGCGCATCTAACGACATTCTTCGAGTCCCTGCGCAAGCCTCGGAAGCGTATAGAAGGGGAAACGCGGAAACCACAAAATCATCCATTTCGTTCAGGTGTTCGATGATTTGGAGCCCTCGAAGGCGTCCTGGAATCTTTCTTCGGTGGTGACGGGGGCCTTCATTATGGTCTGTTGTGCAAAAATAAGCAGGGGTACGTTTGAAAAAAGGAAATTCTTGGACTTCCTTTTTTTCAAACTGCCATGCCTGGGCCGTCGGTCAGAAGTTTCCTGGATACAGGCCGTGAACTGTTGGGACGCCTCTGGGGGCCTTTTGGCGGCGTCTTGCGAATCTTTCGGGGCCGCTTGGGAATCTCTTCGTGCCTCCTGGAAGCCTCCCGGGAGGCTCTGAAGGCATCTGGGGGGCGCCTCGAGAGCCTTTGCGAGAACCTTGGGGCCATCTTGAGGCAAAGCGCTCGAACAGCTTGGGCAGGTCCTCTCGTTTGTCTCTTTCTTGGCGCGCGCGCGCGCTGACGTTCAAGCTAGGCTGGACAGGTGAACTCATGCGATCTCGATTTTCACGGTGGTTTCAGGGGCAGCCAAGAGGACACGAAGACGACCCAAGAGAGTGCCAAGACAGCGTCAGCATTCCCCCCAAAAAATTGCGATGTGACCCCGAAGTCTTGATGGGGCTCGGGATGAACTTCAACAAAAAGAAAATCACTGGATTACCTTTTTGACAATTGGGGCCTCCTAGCATGTAGTGCGCAAGAATCGGGGGGGGGCTAAGAGGCGTGCAGGGAACTCTTGGGAGGCAATTTAGAGGCCGCTGGGTGGCTGTTTTGGGGCCTCTTGGGGTCACTTCTGGGTTTCTTAGAGGCTCGCTGGGGTCTCTTCAGGCTCTTTGGGGGACTCTTGGGGCCTCCTAAGAGCCTCTTGGAGCGGAAAGCCGGGATTGTCGATTTGCGTTTCCTCTGGTGCTCGGCTTTTCGGGCCATCTTGGGACTCTCTTGGGCTGCCTGGGGGCGCTCTTGGGCCGTCTTGGGGCCTTCTTGGCCCGTCTTGGAGCCGTCTTGGGGGCTCCTGGGCGGTCTTGGGGCGGTCTTGGGGACATTTTTCGGCCGTGTTGGAGCGTTGGAAGCTCGAAAATGCGAAAGGCTAAAAACAAAGAAAAAACAATGACAATCAACGAATATGGCCTCTTCGGGCGCTCCCGGGACGCCTCCTCTTGGAGGCCTCCTGGGAGCCTGGAGAGCCGTCGGAGGTCTGTCTCAGGCTGCTTGGGACCGTCTTGGGCCGTCCTTTCGCCTTCTGGGGGCTCCTTGGGGGCGTCTTGGGCCGTCCTGGACCGTTGTCGAGGTCTCCCTGGGAGGCCCGGGGGCGCGGTACCGGGAGTTGCCCCCAGATGTCACGGAGGTGGGGGACGTTCCCGGGGGTGGGGCGTATTTCTTACAATAATAATAATAAGAATAATAATGAGAATAATAAAACAGATAGTAATAATAATAATAATAATAATTATTATTATTATTAGTAGTAGTAGTAGTAGTAGTCGTAGTAGTAGTAATAGTAGTCATAATAATACTACTACTCTTATTCTTCTCATGGTTATGATTTCTATTATTATGATTATTACGAATCAACTATTCTTGCTATGCCTAATACTATTACCAAATCTTATAGTACTACCATTGTCATTATCAATGGACACTGCCCCCCGCACTGATCGTCCTTCGTGTCTTTTGATGGTGTTCTTCTCTCCTCTTCCTCTCCGTTCGTTCCCTCACTTTCTCCTGTTCCTCCCACCCTGCCACCGCCGGCGCCGCCCCGCGCCCGCGCGCCGTCCGCGCTCATCCCCGCCGCCTGCAGAGGTGGGGGGGCGGCGGCGGCGCGGCCGAAGGGCTGGGGGCCCGCCGGCTGGCGGTGGCCGCCCCTCGCAGCAGACCGGGGGCACACGGCGCCGCGCTGGACCGAGCCCTGCCAAGGGTTTGAGGGGGCGATGGGTGGGGAAATGCGGAGGGGCACGCGGGAGCAAGCCTGCCCTCCCCCCGTGCCCCCGAACTTCCCCTATGCTTAAGTCGAGCCTGTCCCCCTACAGGGTGATTTTCGACGAAAAATTTAAAATACCCCCAAAAAAACCCAAGAAGATCCAAAAATACCCAACAAATAATCCCCAGACTATTTTTGGACTATTTGTTTGATTATTTTGGGGGTATTTGACGAAAATCCCCCCTGTAGGGGGACAGGCCCGACTTAAGCCTATGCAGCGGGCTCATGCCGTGACGATCCCCCCACCCCCGTGGCGCTCGTCTCCGACACCGCGCGGCGCCGCGCAGGGCCGAGCCCCGTGAGAGGCCTACAAATTCCCAGCTCACCATGGCATGCGGGCGGCACGCGCGCGCGCCCCCGAGCGCGCCTGTCGAGTCATCCCAACATCCTTCGTGTTCTCAGCATTTCGAGATGAAGCTCTTCGCCGAAACGTCTGAGCAGTAAGTCGCCAGGACATGTCCGATTCTCTGCGCGCGCGCACTTACCAGCCTCAATAAACGAATACAGCTTTCCTGTCATCCGTGTCAAAGCCGCCACCGTGCCGCTTGTCACTCAGTAGAATGTGATCGGGTCCTTTTGATTTGTCTGGATTGCGCGTGCACGCCGCGGCGTTCCGCGTGCCAGTCGGGGGCGGTCGTACGACTTCCCCAGAAGCCAGAGAGCGCCTTCACTGGCCAAGAGGGCCCCAAAGAGGCTCCCGCATGGTCCAAAGGGACCCTGGAGCCCTCTTAGGCGCATCTTGGGCTGCGAGATCCTCGTGGCTGGCACCAAAAGTCAAATCATACTACTCAGCGAATTGTTTTGGTATGATGTAAATACTTTATTTTTCTGCATGAAGGGCGGCCAAGAAGACTCAATTGACAACCACCATCGCCGCAGGAAGGCCCAAGAAGCTCCAAAGACGTCCCAAGAGGCACCCAAGACGTTCCCAAGAGAGGCCCAAGGGAGAGGGAATTCGAACTGACATCTGCGACCTTCGTGCTCTGGAGATCGCGGGCACGCCCCCAGAAGGCCCCCAAGAGGCCCCAACAAGCAGGGGAGAGCTCAGCCCTCGCTGCTGGAGCCGTGCGCCGGCGAGCCCCTCCAGGAGAGCACCGCGTCAATCACCGAATATGATCACTGCGCGGATGCCCGACACAACACTTAAAAAACTATCGGATGCAAGATCTGAGAAGACACGTGACAAAAATCCGGTGACACCGCGGGAGCTTCCGGACACGCGCCAGAAAGCAGCACGAGAGCAGCGCGTGGGTGAGGGTGTCTCGAACGACACCCGTGCGGCGGATCCCGGAAACCATGAACCAAAAAGCGTGTTCATCTCTTGGGGGCGCATGCTTTACTTCCGCCACCTTCCGCCGCCCTCCTGCCGGCTTCCGCCAGCAAAGGCCGCCTCGTTCTACTTCCGCCGCCCTTCCGCCGAGGAGGAGATGGCAGCTGCTTCGCTCCTCGAAAGCAAGGCCCTTTCTGGAACGCTTCAGATGATTGCGCCCGGTGCGTGCAGAGACACAGGGGACATGCTGCGGAAACCGCAACAACCTCCGGAAACGTGCAGGAAGCCGCTCCAAAAACCGCTGGCGTTTGAGGACAACTCCACCAAAGACCGAACTTGTGGCCACACCCCAGGATCCGTGGACATGTTGCGGAAACCGCAGCAACCTTCGGAACCTTACAGGAAGGTGAGCGTTCTTTTTTCGGCGTTTCGACGTTGGGCGGCAAGGGGGGGAGGGGGGGGGTTCTGGCTCCAGACCTCTGCTTAGTGCGACTGTTTGGAACCGTGCGTCCTATGGGGCAGACCCCATCTGCTCGAAGCAGGCGCCAAAAACAGCCAAGATCTACTCCACGGGGGGGGGAGGGGGGGGGTGCGAGTGCTCGCGCCGATCGGCAAGAGAATGCATAAAAAACGCTCACAACTCGCTCCAGAAACCGCTGGTGTTTGTCATTGCACCAGCCTTGTAGACGTGCTGCAGCGGATTTCAGCGTGAATTTTTGCCCGAAGCGGCCAGCGAAAAACGAAGTGAATTTCGCGCGGATTCTTTTTGATCTTCCTTCCCGGCCAAACGAAATCCGCACGAAACTCACTCGAAATCCTGAACGAAACTCTCCAGAACACTCTGGGCCCACCCCATCGTTTTCCGAACGAGGCCCGCTCTGCGATGTTGGCGCCATGATGTTTGAGCTTATGTTGCTCCCATCGTACTTAAGGACCACATCCCAGAAACAATTTCGAGCACCCGGAAAAGCGTCGAAAGAGTGTCGAAACAGTGTCGGACGAGCGTCTCCCAGGGCCCGACACGCGAACCCCCCC